CAGGGGAGCTTGCCAGCCCTTGCACGTCCTGCCTGGAGGCCTCCCAAGAAGAGCCGTGCCTTTGACCCATCACCGTATCGTGTCTCTTTGTGCCCCTGGCCAACCGGGCTTTACTTGGGTTGGAATAAATGGCTTCCTGGCTTCTCCCCATGCAGCCGGTTTCTGGGCCAGGGTTTGTTTGAGGCCCTGTTTGGACATTGTTAAAAGTGGGCAGCTTTGCTCTGAAAGGTCAGTATGAGGGATGAGAACAAAGAGATCTTTCAAGCTGGCCTCTTGCAGGCAGCCAGGAACGGCTCGGAAAAGCCCCAGGTCCACCTGGCACTGGCAGCTTTAGACCTGGGGCAGGATTGCTGAGGCTTGTGGCCATCTGCAGAGCCCTTGAGAAGCCCTGTCTGGTGTTTCGTTGCTCAGAGGGGTAAGCTGAGGCCAAGGGGCATTCCCAACATCGCAGGACAGGTGAGCAGCGGCTGAAATCCCACATCTCTCCTTGGGCAGCAGCCCTGGACACTGGATCCTCTGTGTTGGTTTTTCTCTTGAAGGGCATTCAATAAAATTTGGGATCTACCTAAAACCTGCCTGAGGGTGATTATTGCTTATTTATATGCCCAAATCCCTTATGGATTTGAAAATAATAAAAAGAGACAACATTTGGCCACAGGATCTTATTAAGATGCAGGGCTGATTCCATGTGTGTGTGTGTGTTTGTAGAGTCTATATTCTGCATTTCTCCCAAGCCCCCAGGTGATGCCAGTCTGTTAGTCCAGGAGTGTTGATGTCAAGTCTGAAGGCTGTACTCGTTCCGCAATGCGGAGAGAGGACAGTCCTTGCGGTGGATTGGGAAGAAGGGGCCATAGTCATTCTTGGCTCCAGCCTCCGGGTAGCAGCCTGGGCCAGGCTGCCAGGGATGAGGCTGGCAGGTAGCCCGCAGAGTGGAAAATCACCCAGAGGTTCTGGGAGCTGCGGCCTCCTCTGGGCCCCAGGGCCCTGGGGCAGCCCCAGGGTCCAGCCCACCTCAGCCGGGGCTGTTGGGCCCAGCTGCCAGGTCAGAGCCCTTGTGCAGTCTGGGGTCCCAGGGTCAGCCATGGCCTCTCCTGGCAGCTCTTGTGATCTGTGTGTTTTTTCTCTTTCCTGATGGTGGCTGGCCTGTCCTGTGGCCTGCTGTCCAGCTCTGGGTTCTTTTCTGAGGCAGAAGCCTCTGCGAGACTGTAAATGCTTCTTGCAGGGCCCCAGCCTGTCCCTGAGCTTGGTCTGTTTACCTGGGAATATTCTTATGTCTCCTATGGGGCAGGTGGCTAGTAGAAGGAGAAGTGGGACCCAAAGCTGGAGGGTCCCTGTGGGCCCTGCTGGCCCCTTTCCCTACTCATTAGCTCCTGAACTTCCACATGAAATAATCTGAGTTCAAACCGAAGTCATTGGATCAGTAAGACCCAAATTAGAAGGAGAAAGGAAAATGATCCTGTGAGTCTCTGCCACACACCTGGGTGTGCTTGGGGTTTCTGTGCGTCACCTTCCTGACAACGCTCTGAGGAAATGAGTCTTGGAGGGGCTGCCTTCCTTCCAAACAGACTTAGGATCTGGGTACAGAACTGCGGCTTCCGTGTCAGATTGTCCCTTCTGACACCTGGCCTCTTAGACCTGGAGAACTGAAAGACCCTGGGGAATCATTGAAAGCAGTAGTTCTCACATCTGAGCATCTCTCAGATCCTGCTGGAGATTTGGTAAAACCCACATTGCTGGGTCTCACCCCAGAGCTTTTGATTCAGCAGATCTGGGGTGGGGGCTTCCGAATTTGCCTTTCTAACAAGTTCCTGGGATACTAATGCTGCCAGTCCAAGTACATTTGGAGACCCTCTGGTCTAAACTGTCATTTCTCAGAGTATGGGACAAGTACCTCTAGGGATACACAAGGTGGCTTTAAGTCACACACACGCACAAACTTTTAAAAAATACTTAAGGGACCAGGCTCGGTGGCTCAGCCTGTAATCCCAGCAATTTGGGAGGCCAAGGCGGGTGGATTGCCTGAGCCCGCAGGTTCGAGACTAGCCTTGGCAACTTGGTGACACCACATCTCTACAACAAAAAAAATTAGCCAGGCATGGTGGCGTGTGCCTGTAGTTCTGGCTACTTGGAAGGCTGAGGCAGAAGGATCGCCGGAGCCCAGCAGGTCAACATTGGG